CGATTCGCGAATTTCGGCAAGCGGCCGTAACGCTCGGCGGTGCCCCCCTTTCCCCGTACGCTACTGTTCAGTTTCCCGTGCTCCCGCCGCGAGTCTCCCCTGGAGTACCCGCCGGTCTTCAGGATTGACGATAGTCCGGAGACCCCTCGGGCCCTGAGGGTTTTCTTCTCCGCCAATAATCCCGACTCCCCTGGAGTCGGGTGGAGTACGGCACTTTGTCCCCTGGACGCGCTGGTACTCTCCCAATGCTGGGTCCTTCCTGCTGCCACCTCCGTTGAGAGTCCTTTACGGGGGGAGGCGCCGGTCACTGCCCATAATGGTCCGACTCCGTTGGTGCAGGTGTTTGCCGACTCTCCAGTCGACCGGTCGCCTCACGAGTTCGGCTCCTCCACCGTTGTTTGGCGGTGTGGTCCTCTCGCAGGGCAGAAGGCCCTTGTCCCAATTTTCCGTCTGCTCCTGGTCAGGGTGGGGAAAACGGTTTCGGAGTCGGGTGTCGCCCCTCGCTCGCTACGGCCCTGTAACTGCGCGCGGTTGCTCGGCGCGGTAAAATGCGCGATTAGTCGCAATTCAAATGTTCGCTATTTCTCGGGATTCCTCAAGGAGCGCTCGTGTGCCTGCGAGTGCGTGCGCGCGCCGTTTTGCGGGGCAGGGGACGGTCCGGTTCCTTGCGCGCTACGCTCCATGGTGGTATATGGAGCGGTCGCGTTACGCTGTTCAAAAAGCAGCGTAACAGTACTGATAAGATGGAACACTGTTTCATTGTAAATGATACCAATGTCCAATGGCTTGTACGATTCTCAAACGGATCTAAGATCTTGTACGATGTGTTGTAAAGAACTATTAATAAAAAAAATGGAAATATAATCTAAGTAATATAATATAGTAAAAAAATTGGAATTTTTTGCAAACGAGACCACCATAAGAACATTCTCTACAATCTACAAGATGCAAAAGGAACCATTTGACTACCACTGGGGTTTCTTAAACACACGTCTGCGCAGTGTTATCTCTTCAACAAAACTTGGAAAACCTATTTCATATGCTATGCATTACGTCGGATCCCGGAATAATAGACCTCAGAGAAATTTTCATTAAAAACAACTGTCGTGCTCAAACACGACGTTATGTCATTAGTTGGCAGGAATGATACACATACAATATATACTTTTGCGAAGATTAAGAAATATGTTTAATTCTATTACTTGGCAACAAAGCAAGTTTTCAAATAATACATACTGATTTTTTCCCCACTTTTTAGAATAATCGGCCACTGCGGAGCGTTTTGTGAGCGTGTCTGTTACCTAGCATTTATGTCAACTGTTCGTAAGTGTACACTGTGCCAAATGTCTGTAAAACACATGAAACATGTTACTTTTCGCTGTGATGTTCAAAATACGCTATTGTTCTTGGCGAATTGTGAAATGTACTCGTTATCGTTATGAATGTCAAACATACTAGTTATCGGTGGAAACGATGAAAGGTGCTTCTTTTTGGGATAAATTGAAATATGCTACTCTTCGTAAGACAAATGAAACATGCTACATTTCGTAACGCACGTCGATTTGCTCTCAAAAAATCAAAGGAACTACCTACTACTGTTTTTTAGGCTATTGATTTTTTTCATTTATCCCCTCTTTTTCCATAACCACACACTCGGGGAAAATTTGTTGCACCGACCCTGATTCACACGCAAGAACGTTCGTGTAAAGGGGTTAATTACCCCTTGCAAGACGGACGTTTTGGATGATCGAGTAGAGGGCGATACCAAAGCCTAGATAGACCCCTAATCATCTGTCCTTAGATGTATTTTGGAACGAATATTCTTCGAAATACAGACTCCTCTCGATTATCGCCCCGAACTCGGGTTCGAGCCGGGACAATAATCGTAGAGGAAGAAATGCTTCAAACCTTCGGGATTTCGTTTCTTTGTCGGAAGCTCGAGCCTCGGCAACAATGTCTGCGCTTGACAGGTTCCACCACCCCTCCCCCCTCCCCAGTGGTGGTGATAACACCTGGACAATAATCGTGTAGAGCAAGCCAGACGATAATCGAGGGGAGTCTGTGTGTTGGTCTTCTTAGGGGCACTCCACGCGAAATCGGACACTTTCTGGAGTAATATTTCTGATGTAGTTGACACTTGGATATGTTACAGTCTTTTAGTGATATATAAATATATCTCGTAGGAGTTTTGAAAAATTACCGAATTTACCGGTAAAATTACCGAAATTATATATCAGCAATATCACAGATATCAGATCAGTGTACATAGTAATAACAGCTAGTTCAAACTAGTGTTGTATAAAGCTCGAGTCTTTGAAGGTACAAAGCTTAGCCTTAAAGACTGAGTTTTTAAGGCTACAATCATATGAAGCTCGAGGCTCAAAGCTCGAGCTCCAAGGCTCGAGTCGTCGAGGCTCGAGGCTCGAGTTTCAAGGCTTTGAGTAGTCGAGGCTCGAGCCTCGAAGCTCGAGGCTTTTATGTTTAACACGTTCACTGCTGAGCGTGTTTCTGCTGGTTTTGTCTTCTGCGCCAAAGAGTGATTGCCAATTAGAATCATATAATAATATATTACACAATATGATTATATGTATTGTGCAAACTTATCATGCGTAGTACATTAATCTTGCTGCCGGTCATCTATGACTCCCACGGCGTAAGAGTATGTTTCCAGTCGATCAGATAATACTATATTTTGAACATTACAGACAAATTTTTAGCAATGTTTCATTTCGTCTACTATTCAATGGTTATTTTGTTTCATTTTTCATTTCCCTTTCTTGGTATCAATCTCTCATGTGTTTGCAGTCATCGCTGTATTTTTTAAAAACTGTATAAAGTATAATATTATAGATTTAGTGTAAATTCCATTATTTAACACTTAAGGGTTCTAGAGGGTTGAACCTTAAAGCTTCAGACTTAATGTGGAATAACACAGTGACGATTGGCAAAAATTAAGTTTTTTATATATATACTTTCAAAGTATAATTTTTCGAAAATATTCTACCAGAATATTAAGTTGAATATCACGTGAATAACGAAAAAAATGTCCCAACTTTGATCAATGAACCGTGAACAAATTGAGAAATTATTTTGTTCGACGCGTAACATCCTATGACTCGTATATCTTGCTCAAGTATACATAGGTATTTTGTAATAAAAGAAAATTTAACGTATTGTCCAAAATATATATTTGATCACCCTATTAATAATAGTTTAATGAGGTTTGAGTGTTGCAGAACTAATTTTTTTGACGTTTTTTTGACGTTTTTGGATTATTCCCCCTTGAATCTTTAAAAGCTTTAGATTCGTGTAATATTAGAGTTAAAAACTGAAAATTTTTAGGTTAAGTTTTAAGGCTTCGAAAATTCAAGGTCTGTACATTACTTCACTACATACAATTTATACGACTCGAGCCTTCAAGCTTAAAGGCTCGAGCGTTAAAGACTCGAGCTTTCACGACTCAAGCTTCGAACCTTGAGGGTTCGAGCCTTTAGGGTTTGAACCGCGACTCGAGCTGTTAAAGCTCAAGACTCGAGCCTCATTTTAACAACACTAGTTCAAATAATACGTTTTTTTGTTCGATTCGGTAATTTTACCAAAATATTACTGTAATTTTACCACCGTCCAAATTGGCTGTTATACACCGGCTGTAATAGTTCTAATGAATAATTCTGTTAGCAAAAACCAGCCTTCTTGTACGAAGTTCGAGCGCATTTTATTGCAATGATAAATTCAGCTTGCAGATTGTTGTTCCCTTCGTAGTTTTATAGACAATGCGAATTCTTTGCTGTACGTAGTATAATTTATACCTACGTAATGGAAAAATGATTCCTTTCTGTACGACAGTGTACGATGTGATCGGAACGCGTCGCGGTTTACTATCGAACAAACAAACGAGATGATCGCCGGTTACCGTTTCGATATAATCAACGGGCCTCTCAGTCACCGATACACGCTTCCTCCTAGTGCGTCCAATCCTTTTGTAGAATCATCGGACAAAGGATTCTGTACCCGGTGATAACCGTTTCTGCTTTTTCAAATTACCTTACCGTGTAACTAGTCCAAGTGTCTTTTTAAATGCCGGTGCAGAAAGCGGAAGACATGTCGAGAGCGACTAGTGTTTGCAGAACATCGTTACCTAACACAAAGAACCAGAAGAACGCGAAATATAAAGACCAGCTCTGCTCGACTCAGCCGAGAAATGCCTGTACCCGTGAATGTAAATCGAGCCACATAAATTATTGTTGCATCCCGTGCAATGGAAAAGAGGTAGTCACATATTCATAGTACGATTTATACAGGACATTAAATAGACACATTCTCTATTAATTGCTTTATTTGACGAAACAGGAAATATTTCTGTCGCATCAACTATAAATTCGAAAAATTGGCGGTGTGTTTATTGCTAGATTTTATTTCGTGCAATAAAATACACGCCTTATTTAATCATAGCTCCTTGAAGCGTCGTTTCATTTCTGTTTCTTGCGAAGTAATACAACACGGTTTTAATTTGCTTAAAAGGTTGCAGTCTATTCGTTATTTTAGAATTTCATTGCAAAGCTCTACATTCTTGCAATCCTTGTAAGCTGATGTTGGCTTACATTCTCATCGGTCAAAATTATGTTGTCATAGTATAGGTAGTACGTTTTGTGTTTGTCATTAAATTACATGATACTAGAACACTCAAATAAAGTACACCGAAACTATCGGTAAATAATATATTAAGCGAATCAATTGAATAGTTTTATTAAGTATTTATTCTTGATTTTCTTGGAAACAGATACTGAGTTTCATTTTACAAAAGAACCAGTGATTTACCTAATGTTGGTGCGCCTAATATTCCATTTGGTTAAGATTAGTCCAACGAAATTAGGCTCTTTTATTTTGAACTTTGACTTACTAAACAAAACTTTACCGTCGTTACTGTACTCAATTATAAATGGAAATAATACTTCATCCTCTAACTCTGTACATGTGTTCAGATGAACAAAAGAGTGAGGATGAAAGTAACACCAAAGAAGAAACCGTTGTCCCAAAAGATCTTGACAAAGGAAGAGTACGAAGGGTTTCGAGAGTGCGGCAGTTCTACAACGAAAGAGGAGCACATAGCTCTAAAGGCGGAAGCAGAGGAGAGAGAAAGACTCATAAAAGAGAGCATGGAACGGAAAAAGGAGTTCCGCAAACTGGACAAGAGCAGACCTCGCGAGAAGAGCGCAGATTTGGTTGAAATCGAGGAGGAGGCAAGGAAAAGGACTAACCACGTCCTTGAAAGGGCGCACAATATGAAACTGGAGCAGGAGGAGGAAATACAGAGGTGCAACAGGATTATCTTGGAAACCAAATGCCGTGCAATTCGAGACGCGCAGGTGAATGAACAGTTTAAGATAGAACGTTAAAGTACGAAGGTAGAGCCGAACTTAACTCGTTGGTCCTGTTCGCCGTGCAGTTAGCGGAAAAAAGACTGATCGAACTCGAGTTGGAGGAAGAGGAGAAACGTCTGAACGATATGATGGAGAACGAGAGAAGATGGGTGATCAAAGAAGAACATAAAAAAGAGCAGGAGGAGGCAGCCAAAAAACTGGAATTTGCGAACAGTCTGAAAGATCAAATACGAGAAAACGAAGAGCAAAGACTGTTGGAGTTCGCGAGAAAACAGGAAGAAAGTCGGCTAATCAACTTGAGTAATATTGCTTGGCAGCAAGCAGAAGTCAGCAAGCTGCGAAATAAGGAGGCTGAATGCACGCGTATTCAATTGGAGATTGCTGAGGGGAATGAACAGTTGAAGCATCTAAAGGCTATGGAGGAACAAGAGAATAAAATCATCGATCACAGGTGAAGGTTTGATTGTTTCAACGAACGGCCCTTCACAACTTAATATGTTGTTTATTTGCAGGATTCAAGAGTACCAAAAACGAAAACAGGAAAGAGATGAAAAACTGGCTGAGAAACGGAAGCACGAAAAACTGAAAAAGGAACAGGGGAAAGCAAAAGTGGCGTCCCAGGCGTTACAGTATCAGGGCATTCAAGTATACAAGTGTTTACACAAAAAAAAAAGAAACCAATAATCGGAACTCCAAGCGTAATTGTTTGTGGTTGTTCTAGGCACGAATCGATGAACTGAACGCCGCCCGAATTCAGGAAGAAGTGGAACGCGAGTGGAGACAGAAGGAAAAAGAAGAAGCTTTGAAGAGAGCTGAAGCTCAGAAGAGCCTCATAAAAGAACGAGAAAAACAAATAAATAATAAACGAATAATGCAGGCGATTGAGCTTGAACGAGAACGACGGGAGTTTGAAAAAATTGTGCGCGTTCAAAAAGAAGCTTTCTGTCGAGAACAAAAGGAACTTGAGCAGAAACAGCGGCAAGCCTTGATTCACAGGAGCGAAATATTGAAGCAGGTTCGTCTCTCATCTTATCTAACTTAAAATAATCGTTAAATAAAATTACGTGGTAATATAACTGGTTATTTTTCATTAGGTTAATGAGAAGGAAAGGGAACGCATTGAGACCAGGCAAAAAATGTTCGAGGAAGGTCTCGCGAACCGCACCGAGGCTGAGATACGAAAAACAAGACTACGGGAGGCGATGGAGAAGAAATGCGATGAAATGAGAGGCAATAAAGTACCTGATATGTACATAAATGAAGTGAAACGTATGATCGAGAATATCCATTGAACATAAGAAATTAAAAGCTGTGGTTTATCTCATGTATCGTACACATATATTTATGAACCGTCGTATCTCTGCTTGTAAAGTCCACAGACCACTATTTTTTTTTATGTTACTTCCATAACATGACAACATTCGAGTCACGTTCAACGATGTCTTCGATCTGCGCCGTAGACTGACCCGTACTGCAACAAATTTCGTCGAGGCTGTATGTTCCCGTGAAATACTTGTATATTGGGTTGCTCTTCATTTCCTCGTTACAAGGAGATCCTGGCAGATAAATTGGATACTGGAACCGACAATTAAAGTGAACGAACTTGCCTTAAAATAAAAACATAGTATTCTTTTTATTGAAAAATTAACAAGCAAACCTTGTACACTCTGCGAATAAGGCCTTCGATCAGACCAAATTGTACCAGTCTTCTTTCACTGATCCTCAAACTTTGGGGATTAAGTCTTTGGCATAAGTCCCTCATGCTACTACCATGCGTCATACTTGCATACATTCTGTATATGTCCCTAAGATAAGCAGGTTGTCTAGCTGTAAGCAAGATAATTCTGTAAAATCAGTTTGTGTCTTTGTAGATCTTTCTACTGAGAATATATAGCTTACGTAATTTTGACGCATACGCTATACATTGTTCCTGCAGCTTTGTATTTTCCGCCAGTTCTTTTAATTTGGAAGTTGCTGCATAAACATTACTATACTGGAATATTGGAATCAATGTTACTACACCATAGTACCTAAATAGGAGGTAATATTAATTAATTCAAGTAAATTATCTGGAAGGAGATTTTGTTTTAATATTTACACAAGGTTCTGCACACAACTTTTAACTAGATTGTTCTCTACATCTGCTTCCGCTGCTATTCGTGCAACGTGATTAAATCCATCTATATATGGTAATACTTGTTGTGTAGTCAAATCCCATTGATCGCTTTGAAATGCTTCACGGCCTTCCAAGAATATTGGTACCTGATGATCAAGAACTGGTTTCGGCTCAGGTGCTAACTTTATGACTTTCAAATGGGACGTCATTGTCCCCTCTAATAAAATATTACATTTCATATCTTTTGTGTATCTGTAGAACAGTAATGGTTCCAGATTCCTCTTACCTGTTAATGTACACATCTTGTGCAAATTTAGATCCTGCATTACCTGCTGAAGCATTTCTGCTAGCCTTGTCTTGTCATCAGACGCTGATAAAAAGCAGTTTTCTACTTCAAGAGCCATCTAGAAAATTAAATTAAACTTAATGTACAAACATAATGTATAAATGAAATAATTAATACCCAAATACTCACTAAAAAATCAGACATTTTTTTAACAACAGGTTCGTAGTGCACTGTACGGGCTCCTGCATCACACACAAAACACAAGTTGAAGTAAAATGCATTTCTTGCATATTTTTTATCATCAATTTTTACTGGGAATCCTAAAATCTTATAATCCTTCAATGTCCTAAAAATAAATAAAAATGTTCATTGTTTTAATCAAAATACATGCTTTCAATTAAAAATTATACTTACACTGTTATAGTGCTTCGTTGCAATTGTGCTTTTGGTATAATATATACACTGACATTATCAAAAATATCCTTAGAAATAAAGTTATCCGGTACCTGAAAAAGAAACTAATATAATCTGTATTCTATAAATTATAATTGCACGAAATTACATGCAATAATTATTAACCTGACAAGTAATTTTTGGACCCATAATGTGATGAAATTCAGAAAAGAATATGCATCTAATAGGGTCTTCTTGTCCTTTGTCTTCTGTGTCACTCATTGCTATTAGTGATGTCATTTTTGTACTTTATACTTCTATCAAATCCAATAATCTGTAGTTAAAAAAGTAGATGAAACAATATTAGTTTTATGTATTAATCTAAAGCGAAATTAATGTACTTTTCTCTTCTATATACATTTCTAACAAACTTGAACTAATACTCATGTAAACTGACAAAATCCACAAAATCCACATTCAATTAATATTCAGGTTCAATTAGTGTACTTCAAAATGTTGAAAAATGTTACTATAAAATACGTACTTTTAATGTAAATAGTCGCATCATATCATATGTATGTAAGTACTCTTATATCTGTTTATACCGCACAGTACGCATGACTTTTATGCTTCTTACATGCGCATGGGAATACAAAAAGGAGAAACGTACCTACGATAAAGAAGAACAGCAAGTTACGAATGAAAAACAAAGTGTGGAATATATCTAGTATACAACAGAGTAAGACACAAAGCATGAATCAAAGCAATAAAGATGATAAATAACAACGAATAGTAATAAGCAAAGTAGAGCACCAGCCAGTACCAGCAAGTTGTACACACACGAAAAAGGACAAATATAGCAATACGCAATAAATAAAAGAGAGAAAGATAGCATGTTACAGGTTGGAGAGAATAATATGGGAAGAAAGAGAGAGAAAACGATTAAATAGATATGAAGTTCTGGCTGGACGATCTGTGTCAAAAAACATAGGAATAATATATTTAACTCTCTGCATTGTACTTTTGGTATGTAATTTTTTATTCTCTGAACAATTCATAAATTCTTATTTATGTTTTTAACGTAATTACAATTTCATACTAACCACTAAATACTATGTGTTTACAACCTGTAACCAAATGTCATGTGAAAATTCAATATGTTTCAAATAGATGGGTAAAAGGTTTGCTAGACACAACCAAACATTCTTTTCTTTTTTAAAGTTTATTCAGTACAACAATCTATATGTTTAAATTGATGATTTGAATTTAGCGTTAGCTGGAATATTATAAAATATGTCTAAATGGTACTTGTCAAACTTTGGATCCTTTAAGATAACATGTTTCCAATATAATATTTCTCCTATTAGTACTATGAAAGCTAATATATAACCGGCTACAACTGCAATAAAGGCACCTTGTAACTTATGAAGGTTGACTAGTGCCTTTTCAGATTCAGTTTCTTGTCGTATTTCTGTGATCTTTGACCATTCCATAACATCACTCAACCATTTTTCAACTAATCCTGTTTCTATTACACGCCTTATCTATAAACATCAATGTTAAGTAATATTATTTACAATAACATTATAGTATTTAACATCAGACATAAAATATACCAAAGTATCAACATGTGGTTTCAATGGGGAATTCTTTTCCATACCAAGAGCTACAGGCATATTTATAGCACACTCTTCCATAATGTGCAAGTTATGTTTTAAGGACATGTTCATTGTAGTTCTGTTTTCTTTTTGTTCTTTTTCAAGTATTTGCCTTTTCACACGGGCGTAGCGATGAAAATAGGAATTCTCATAGTATGAGAAAGATCCATTTGCCACCTTTTCGATTGCTTCTTCTTGATTCAAAATCAACTGAAACTTCTTACCAATTTCTTGACTATCAGAGTCTGATGATATTAAGAAAAACTCTTTGCCTTCTTTGTTCCATCCTCCAACTTCGATAGAACTTTTGGCAAGTTGTGCCAATGTATCGATGGTAACTCTGTGTTCAAGTAGTGATATTAATAATAGAATAAGCGTTATATACAGAGTATACCAGGACAGGTGGTACAACTGGACCGGAGGTTATTCTACATGCAACAATAAGTTGAAAATGTAAAATAAAATTTTGGTTGGGTTGCACTAGAATATTTAGACCAACACCCACTGGAAGACATGGCACACCATTGGAACGGCTACTGCAAACGTCCCATTCAGAAAATATATACCTAACTCAAATCTAGTGATTAGTGATTAGTAGCATATTTACATTCGGGAGAGGTGTTTCGGTATCTGTAAGTGTAATTCGGTATCTAGTGTTCTAATACTGTTTAAGTCACTTCAGCAACACATTACCCGAGGAATGGGTTGCCATATGTTTGGACTGTCCACAACTTTTTGAGACCCAGGACACATGAGCTTCTCAGACACATCAGCTTTCTCTATGGATATGGTGGTCCATAAATGCAAATAACTCAACTGAATCTGGTAACGCAATCTTATACATAACAATACTACAGTAATAATAACTCAATCTGGTAATGTAGGTAATGAATGCTCCACTCGGCAGTACTTTGTATATACATATAGTATTTAGGCCAACGCTTGGGTTAAGTCTGGGTTAGGGGATAAACATCGCCGGTTATCGTATCGATTGGTGTTATTATTACTGTAGTCACAGACGAGGTATAGGATCCTATACCTCGTCTGTGCTGTAGTATTGTTATGTATAGGATTAGATTATCGGATGGAGTTAGGTTTGGGTGAGATTTCGGCTGTTTACGTTAGTGCCGAGTCTACACATTTTATCCTATATTTTCTGAATGGGACGTTGCAGTAACCTTGATCAATCATGTTGAACTTCTCTATTTATGGGTTTTCCAACGGTGTGTCATATATCCCAATGGACATTGGCTTAAATACTATGTATTCAATTGCACGCGAATGTAACACAGATTTCCAAATTCGATTATTTCAGAAACGAAACATTATACGGAAAGAATGTTATTCTCCATTTTCGACTTATTTATCATCCGTCCTGGCCCATCCTGTATATTATATCTTACTCGAGTAATAATCTTTACCTGGCAGCAGGATTTGCAAGAGTTGCAGTCATGCTAGCTCGATACGCAACTGCAACTAGAATACTGTAGATCCACCACCAACCAATAAATACTCGTACTGCCCAAGGACTTGGCAAATTGGGTAATGAAACTTGAAGTAGCATACCATAAGTGTATAATATACTGTTTTGTACTTCAGTGAACAAATACAGACCTTTTCCCTCTTTCTTCATGAATGTAGTCTGAATATGCATTTTATTCTTGTATAAACTTATATATTTTTTATAAAAAATTGATAAGAAATGAAATGCAATACCTCCCAAGATTAAAGTAAAAATTAATGCAATCCAGGTGTAGAGTCTGAAAATTGAAATGAAAATGTTTTTTTTACCTTTCTATTGTTATTTCCTTCTAATCGCACTTACTTAAACGGAAGTATTAAAAGCATCCACGAATTTTCTGTTAAAGACTCTGGTGTCAGAAAAGTGAGGCATTCTGTGTTATATGGAATGGTCAAGTCAAAATAAGTCAAATGATGCAGTGTATAATGTAAATCACCCAAATAAAATGCAGCTTTCCCTTGTATGGCTTCATTTGTAAGACCTGTGTACGTTTCATTATCTCCTGTTGTTCCCCATTTTTCAGAATCAATGTTGTGTGGCATATAATACTTTGGCTTGAAATTCATGGCTTTTGATATGATCTGTATTAACTAAAAAGTATTACCAATGCACATCTCAGCTAGTTAGTTCTATTTATAATACATACTTCAAATTCTATACCCAAGGCATCTGTATTGTTGTTTGGTCGCTTATTGTAATAAGCTCTTGATTTCTTCATTACTGATGGAATGTGCTCAAACACAGCAATCCTAAAAATAAGATTATTTTATCTTCCGATGAGGACCATTTACGAGTGGGTTATTCCACGCGAAATCGGACACTTTTTGGAGTAGCATTTCGGATTTTGTTGATTCTTGAATCTGTTGTAGTCTTTAGTGATATATAAACGTACCCCGAAGGATTTTTGAAAAATTTAAAAATGATTGAATTTACAGCTGTTTGAAATATAGTGTAAAGGTTTTTTCAATAAATCATAACTGTTGAACTAATAAACTAATCAAAATGAGCTTTGTGGGTGCTTACAGTGGAGACATAAGAGTACCTAATAAAAATTATTTCGGTTAAAAAAAAAATGTATTAGCCATGTATTTTGCAATTATTTTAAAGAAATGCAATGTTATAATAGCGGGGCATTGTTTAAAAAATTAAAAAAAATATAGTCCTATTTATCCTTTTTTATTGACAAATTTTCAAATATATGGAGACTTTAAAAGGGCCATATGAAAATTAATTGAAGTGATCGCTGCCTCTAATTGTAAGCTCTAAGCACATCGGTTCGACCGGTCGAGCAGTACCGGCCAGCCTACTAACGCACGGCTTGAGCGATCGAGTTAACTTCAATTAATTTTCATATGACCAATTTGAAAGTCTCTTTATTTTGGAAAATTTGTCCTTAAAGAGGACAAATAGGACTATATCCTCATTATATAAAAATTTTAAAGAGTGCCCCGCTATTATAGCATTGCATTCCTTTAAAACAATTGCAAAATCAATGGTTAAAAAATATTTTTTTAACTGAAATAATTTTTATTAGGTACTCTTATGTCTTCACTATAAGCACTGACAAAGTTCATTTTGATCAGTTTGTTAGTTGAACAGTTGTGATTTATTGAAAAAACGTTGATACTATATTTCAAATAGCTGTAAAACCAAGAATTAAAAAATTTTTTTTAAATCCTTCGATCTGCATTTATATACCACTAAAGACTACAATATATTCAAGTGTCAATTAAATCCGAAATGTTACTCCAAAAAGTGTTCGATTTTGCGTGGAATCACTCGAACGTCAGAATTATATGTATGGAAACTTATTTTCTTTGTTAATAGTTTTATTCATGGACAATTACTTTTACACTGACCTTAAATGTTTTTTCTGCAAATTTGCAGTCTTTGTTGTAAAATGCTTTGTGCCATAACGCAACTTGCCCCGGTACCAAGTATCTATGTATTTAGTAGTATATGTGTTTCCGTGAGAAGGAAAATAAACAGTGTCTAGATCAATTCTTTCATCAGATGTCTTTTCACCAGAACGATGCTTGTATATATTGTACTGACGTATGAATACCACGTTAATTATTCTGTTCCAAAGATAGTGTAAATTCGGTAGAAACAAATGATGATCGTACAATAACAGGAATAATCCATGTGTGTCAATTAGACGTTCGCTGAAATATAAAAGATCGGAATAAATTTAATGTAAAATAAGAAAGCACTTTTACTGGTACTTCTGATTAAAATACGTAAATGTCCTTGAACTTCCATCGACGAATATTCATATGTTATGTAAAATTCATCTAGTTACAAAACTTTATTATCATTATTTGCTTACTTTTCTGCATATTGCAAAAACTCAGACGTCAAAAAACCATTAGCAATCAGGATAACGTATGCGTTGCAGCCGACGGCCTTGCTGTCGCTTAAAATTCGTCGAATTGGTTTTCTCGGCCGGAAAAATTGTTCATTTTCGCGTAATACGATCTGCGATAAAAAATAGATGCAAATTCATCGGAGATTTGCGTTTGCTATCTTACCTCATATTTCGATAAAATCGATGCACTTTGTACGTGTACGATGTCTAATAGTGTCCGATAAATGGAATCAGTGATAAAGACAATACAATCTGCTTCCTCCATAATTTCCTCTACGATCTTTTCAACCAGTGATTTCAAATTTTCGTCGCTCCTCTCGCATTGATGCTCACTGTAAAATCCACTATAGAATTTCATAAATAATCCGTTTGCACACAGAAAGAAATTGTAAAGAGAAATTTTGAAAGCTTCAAAGAAGTTTGAACTTCCTGTGATCAGAACCGCTACCGGAAGTGCATCAATGTACCTAAATTGCCCTTTTCTTCCGAAAGAAATTACACTTTTTTGTTTCTTTTGAATTTTTCTAGTTGTTCCGCGTATAAAAATATTATACAGCACAGACACAAAAAAGAAGTGAATCCATTTATGTAATACGTGAAAATAAAAACGGAGTAACCGAACAATTTAAATTCCATTTCGTCTTAATATTTTTGTAATGCTTTCGCAGTAGTATTTTGAAGATGTAATAGTGCATAATTAATGAGTGTTCCATTGGTAGAGAAAGACGTGGCCGGTGAATTAGGCGAAAAACAATGGAGTCATAAAACTAAACTTTTGTATCAGCGCAAAAAAACATGCAAAAACACTTGTTTGTAATTATGTCTTTTGTATTTAATAGTTTTTTCCTATTGTATTAAATAATATTGTTATATTCAAAAGTATATAAGTTGTTTTTCTTCTTTGACTCGATAACCACATGTATACCTCTGTTAATGAGAAACAACAAGTAAAAGATTTATTAATAATTATTACTTTCTACCGACTACAAGAGTGATTTGGAGGAATAAAATAAAGAGCATCGCTCGTAGATTCTGCAGGCTTTCGATTGAAGTGGCATACTGATTACGGAGTGACTCCACGCCGAAGGAATCGAATATTCAGGAATCTCATTTGCGGGAGTTAATATAAATTAGATAAGTAATGCAATCGATAATGGAAATGCGAGTTAACGATACTGGCTGTCTGGACTGAAGATAAGGTCGGGGTCAGGTTTATTTTTATTTCGAGCCCGTAAGACGATCTCGAGTAGGAAGTATTTCACGAAACCCGTTAGACGCCGAGCTGACTAGAGTAGATAGCATACAAAACGTTACGGATAAATAATTAGTTACTAGGTCAGCTGATTAGATAACATCTTACTATTCATGATATAAGGTCATTATAAGACAACGGATTCCATGTACAGGGTGTAAACAAAATTATATATCATGCTTTTCAGGGGTGATTCTACACCTTTGGATAGGTTGACATCTGTTAAAAACAGTTCGTCAAAATTGTTTATAACATTGAAAATTATTGTTAATCTTTTTTGTTACATCGACCTATTTAACGCTAATACAAGAAATTTAAACGATAATATAAGAAATTTAAAAAAAACTATATGTTGCAAACGAACCGTTTCGTCAGGAAAAATTGTTAAAAAATTCACAATGATTTGATTGTGTAGTGTTATACACGTAGATGCATGGGCTTACCACTACTCCGCCGCTTGGTAGTACATTCATGTATGCAAACTCGGCTTCTGCTAGGAGAAAAAACGATATTGCAAAAAGGCCTCCTATCACTTGGTCCCGGACGTTAGTGAAATTTATGCGAAATTAACATTCAGTTTAACATTTACTTCAATATTTGAAATAAATTTAGCAAGTGATAGGAAGCTCCTTCCCTACGCCATTTTTTCCCCTAGTGGAAGCCAAGTTTGCTCGTGAGAGTATAGTATATCCACTCGAACGGTGTGTTTCTCTCAACGGCACGTTTAATCTTTAGACTCTCGGCATTTTTTCATTAAAAAAGTAGTCTTTCATTGGCCAAAAATTTATGTATATACATATATGTATTAGGGCTATTGCTTTGAACCAGGTATCTGAGATATACCCGGGTACCCGTGAGATAACCGGGTACTCGAATATCTCATAATCAACAGCTCTAATATGCATTGCACTGAATCCCAAAATGGATACTCTCGGTAGCCTAAAGGTTAAAAGGAGCAAGGTGTATTAGTGTATTGACGTTACTGTGTAACCCTGCATCAAGCGCGACTATTCTTACTTTTCACTGCCTAAAATATGATACATCAATGCTGACAATCTAGAAATGTAGGGTTATATGCAATATTAATATATTTACTCACCAATTCGACATTCAACTTTTGTCTAACCAGCTACGTTACAATAATGTGTCCGGTTTATCTGAGTACAGTCAAGTATCTTGAAAAATATGAATGATACGGAAAAATGCTCAGACAAAAATTGTATGATATCGAGGTGGACATACTGTACTCTTTTCTATTTAACCTTGTGATGATCTTGAAATGTCCTGTGAACGTCACATTAGAATTATTAAATTGGAACTTGTATTCTTTATTATTACATGCTCTTGTCTATTTTACTTTGCGATGATCTTGAAGTACGTATTATGAAGATCATATTCGAATTTTTTAATGGGATCCAGTACTTTTTATAACATATTCTTGTAACTGGCATTGAGACGCCCAGATAACAATTTGCGTTCATATTGGCAGCAGCTAGTGACGCAACCTGTCTACAAATCCATAACCATCTGTTTCCGCGTTGGTTTTACAGGCAGAGCCTGCCTGACAGAATCGTGAAGCAGATTGTTTATAGGAGATTCTGCATCAAATCTATAGCCATTCTGGTTACAAAATCTTATAACAGGCATTGGAAAAATCTGACTGTTGCAGGTTTGCCTGACTGGGCGTTTTTAAAACACTACTTAAGTGTGTACATAATTTGCACAAGGCGATTTTGAGATATGAAATTACAAATGTATCGTGACGTTGGCATTAGCGATGTACAAAGTCTAACCGGGCAATCTCCTCGCGATGTACAGGGTGTCGAGAAATTACATGTCACGTCTACCATAGTTGGATTCACTGATATCATGTGGCAGTTCGTTGTATTCGTCTCAATAAACACTATCATAATATGAATAAAAAAATACAGGGTTCCATTTAAAAATATTAACTTGACTTTGATATCTCCCCCCTCCACTACTATACTTATAGAAAAATTATTTATACCACGTAATGCCCCCCTTTGTACCAAACAACTTTTGTATGAACATTTTTTTGATAACTTTAATCCTTCGTGAGATATTCCACCGTTTCCAGTTAAACGAAACACCCTGTATAATTTCTTGACACCATGGGTATCAGGTAATATTAATGCCCAGCAGCACGGTGATTTTGTCGTTTCATATTACAAAATGGCCGTGTGCAAAATACCAACGTAGGTAATATTTTGAAAACTTAATACCAGCTACAAAAACATGTAATAAATATAGAATAAATTAAGAATTCTAATATGACGTTAACACGACGTTTGAAGGTCATCGCAAGGTCAAATAGACAAGAGTACGTACAGTACGTCCTCCTCGATACCATACAATTTTTATTTGAATCATTTGTTCGTATCATTCGTATGTTTCGAGATAATATGAGTGTTCTCAGATAAACCGGACACCCTGTATATCCCGTACTACGGTTTAATTTTTGTCGACTTTATCGATGTCATGGAGCATTTGACGCATATGTACAAATGTGTAATTATTGGTTTTTCTCTGACGCTCTGTAATGCACAAGTATTTATTACCGATTATTAACAAACTCACTAGAAATGAAATAACACTAATAACTAAACACCACTATTCTACGCTTAATATTAATAGTATCATTACTTCTACGATAAATAATAATAAAATGAAGAAAAAACAAATGACTACAATATGGTAGCAATTATAACAGTAATGGCAGTCGCTTGGAAATACTCTTGCAGTCATTGTTAAAGCGATTCCGACATTTCAGAGCTCTTCCAAACCAGTTACAAATTTTGTACAGCCTTCGTTAATAATTATCGGTGATAACTAATTGTGCATTACGGATCGTCATAGAAGAAGTAACATTACACATTTATAAACGTGTGTCAAGTGTTTCGTGCCATAGATGCAACCGAAAGAAATTATACTGTTTCACAAGTTATACATCGAATGAGTGGGTAAATATATTATCATTGCATATAACCTTACAGTTCTAAATTATCAGTTTTGATGTATCACATTTTAGGCAGTGAAAAGTACGAAAGTTACTGGATTCAACTCTACATAATAACGTCAGTGCACTTTGTTGGGTCTTCTGTCCCTTTAAATCAGAGGCGGCCAATTCGATCCAGAATGAGCCAGTCGGTTGGGAAGGTGGAAGCCGCAGGAAGGAGAGCTGCGCTTGTGTGACCCGCGGTCAGGGTACAGCAATCCGCGAGTGCAGAGGCCATAGGTCAGCACTGGGCAGCGTAGGGCCCCTCACGCGTCTACGTCCCCTTCCAATATTTCTTTCGTGCCGTGTGCCTTTGTAGAAACAAAGAAGCCCAGACTGTTGTCTCTGTCACTCCATGGTAACGGCGGACGATGGTGGTCTCGGTGGGAGCGCTACGACTCATTCTGGCTCGAGTTGACCGCCTCTGTTTTAAACGATCTGTTGTTTTTGTTCATACCCCTGTGTCAAGCTCCATAGGGAAAGGAAGGGAAAAAATGCTCTCTCCCCCCCCCTAGGTCTGGAAAAAATGGCCGCATAGAAACACAGTGACGTAGTATAGAGTAGTAGAGTTCATAGTAGTATTAGCATGGTGTGCACAGGCTGTATTAATGTATACAGGGTAAATCTCTCGTTACATGGATCGAAAGACAAACCGCCTGCTTTGTCGTTCACGTGCCATGATCATAAACGTGTCATCAATAGGTTACTCCTGCTGAGCGGTCTATGCGTGTCTGTGAATATCTTTGCGACCGAGCGAGAACTCTCGCCGAAATCTCACTTTTTCCAAGTGGATCCAGGGAGACTTCGGCAAAAGTTCTCGCTCTATCTCACAAATATTTACAGATACGCATAGACTGCTTAGTAGGAGTAACCTACCGATGACACGTTTATAGTCGCGATACTTGAACGACAAAATAGGCGGCTTGCCTCACGACCCCTCCAGCGAGAGACGCACCTGACTCACCCTGTATATAGCTCTGTGTGACATCACCTGGTTCCTACGGTAGGGAATTGTCTTGGCAACGCTGCTCACGAGCAGCAATGTCTCGAACTTCCCCTACCGGGTTACCCCTACTATTGGTCTACCGATTGACTCGTTACCAATCAACGTTGCTACGAGAATTCCAACACGCAGGAATACATGATGTCACGTTACCCCCACTGCCACTCTAAACTACGTTACTTTTACTATTGACTGAAGCAGCTAGTGAGCTCTATACTAACTGGAGAGCGAACTCCGGTGCGAAGAAGCAGAGGCGATGGAGGTCCGAGGGAAAATTAAGATATAAGGCTCTATCCTTCTTCTTCCTATTATCCTCTCTATATGTATAGTCCATTTGCGTATGAATGGGGTATAGACAACACGCCGTGCAAGACTGAGATAGGTTCTCCTTATATCTCTTCTCTCTGGGAGCAGTTCCCATCTCACAGTTTACACTCCAGTTAGTATACAGCTCCTATATCTCTCTTAAATTCACACCCAGCTGTAGCAACACTAAATTCATACCCAATCTCAGAGATGAATGTTATGGAAACCCAGTCACAATTCTACTAGAGCATGGTGCCCCTGTCTACATCTATCCGGAGAAATGCAGCTCCCTTCCAATCCTGTGGAATGGGGGTGGTAGTTAACAGCGGAAAAATAGAGGAGGGGGTGATCCTGAAATAACCGGGACGTAGGTAGGTAAACTCAGGTTAGGGGTTGTAATTAGGCGATCTAGCTCCCTCTCAATGAAGAAGTACGACGATGAAGCCCCCATTTGTACAGGCCCGACCTGTGGGTGAAGACAAGAGTGAGCAGTTACTCACCTTAGGAGACGAAGGATCTGGATTCCCCGACATTCGACTCCATAACTCTTGAGTTCAGGTAGGGATGAGCCCATCCTTGTGACTCTCCGCACCCTGCACGAGTACATTCGTATATGTATAACTCCAAGTGGCCCGCGTCTAAGAAAGTTGGATCGGGTGAGAAAACGTCGGGTTAAGCATCTCCGAGTAATGCCACCCCTACACTCCATGGTCTCTGTGTAGGCTAGGCACGTTAGCTCGCCCGGCTCGTGGCCTCAGAGGGAAACCAAAATCCCCTTTCCCGGGAGACTCATGTGCCACTAATCACTAATCGCTAGTATAGAGCTCAATGGAAGCAGCACATATAGCTATACTACTTTCCTCCACTATCATCACACTTTTTGCCCTTTTTTTCTCGATCGGGTAACGCTGCTATCAATATTCTCCCCGTCACGCCTTGAACGAACAATCTGAAGACTGTAGTGGGAGTAACTCGGGAGGGGAAGTTCGAGCCCCCGCTGCTCGTGAGCAATCACTTGCCCAGCTCTACTCCGCACAATCAAATCGTTGTGAAATTTTTAACAATATTCCTAACACCAATCAGTTCGTTCGTGATATATGGTTTTTTTAAACTATTTTTTTTCTCAATACGCAAAATTTAATATAACCGAAGAAAAAACATTCATATAACAGAAGAATCTAACATTGATTTTCAATGTTATAAACACTTTTGCGGACGGTTTTTTTTAAATATCCATCGATCTAAAGGTGCAGATTTACCCTTGAAAGCCATGACATGTACTTTCTTTACAACCTGAACTTTTGGCATACATACTTGTCTAAAATTTAATAAATTGTACGAAGTTTAATAAAGTTCAATGAGGTTTGTACATCATTTACACAATAGAATACAGTAGAACCTGGATTATTGGAACTAATAGGGAGACAAAAGTGTTCAAAGAACAGAATTTTTGGATAACGACAACGTTTTATTGCGTGAAATTTCATGCATTTTAAAATTTTAAGCATAATAATGCGAACGAACAAAAAAAGGACACATTGTATGAAGGTTTGCAATCTTTCGTTTCCTATTTTTGATCCGCTGATCGGCTGTAATTTCCCGACGTCATATTTTGTCTAACTCCAAACACCACATCATTCAGACTATTTTCAATAATAGGTTTCAATTTAATTAGGTTTTAATTAATAATTCAAATCGCAACATTACATATTATTAAAAGTTGTTCGATTGCGCGCAGGACAGAGAGGTTATCGATAATCGAACTCGAGCTGCTTGGCCAATTGAAGCGGCTTGAGACGTTTAAGGCAAGGTAACTAGGCAATCAGTTTTTGTAAAAAGAAACCTTTCTTTCTCATTTATTTGTAAGAAAATTAAAGCAAGTCCAGATGTATCCTTTTATCAAATGTTTACTACTATCATAAGGCTTAACAAAAATTGGTATGAAACATAATATGTGCTTTCAAAATGGCGCACAGTGGTTCGAGTCCAATATGCTAGGAGGACAAAACTATTTTCATTTTAGAAATTGTTAGACAATGACTCTATTTCGTATCACAGTTTATTATCTCACTAAACATATTAATAACAAAAATATATGATTAATTAAATGAAAGAAAAAAACAAAATTAATGTATTGCACTTTACCTATAAAATAAAATAAAATAAAAAGGAAAATACATAATAATCAATAAATACTTAAAAATAAAAACAAAAATATAACTTAAAAGGAAAACAAAACATTCCATGTTGCTAACTAGATTAGCAGCACTTCTTTGGTCTTCTGAACGTAAAGCTATTTCTGTTTACTATTTTAGATGTGTTAACACTTATTTTGTGATTAGTTACATCAGGCACATCAACACATCCAATTTTAACAAATACTTGACAAAGTTCATTAAATTGAGTCTGATTACGAAAAATCTGCCAAAGATCGAAGAATCCACCCTTGGTATAGTAACTAGAAGAAATTATATTTACATACATATACACTACGCGTCAAAATTGAAAGTTCACTTAATCTCTTGACCAAAATATTGTCGATTTTTGAACTATTATAATTTCGTGAACAAAAATGTACGGTAGCCTACCTGGAGTCATTTTAAAAAGTGAAGTTTTAGCCTGTAGTTTTACCCTTTCAAATTTTACGTAAATACACTTACATTCGACTAAAAGTTTTTAATTTCCTTTTAGATTTTCCATAATTTTTATAAAAAATAAAGTATTTCATTCAACATACCCGATTATGTGGGAGATATACATATGTATAACGTGATAATGTAACAAAATAATAATAACAGCAACATCAACAGTAATAGCAACAACAACAATGACGGTAATAATAATAAGAAAAATAAAAAATAATAACCAAAGTAAAAACAACAAAACTGAAAATTATAAAAAGACAAACACTATAAGGACGTATACTGCACACTGGTCGCTCAAAGACTGAAGATACGAATATGAATTGACGGGAAAAGCTAGGGATATTATCATTGTTTATGTTGGATTTGAGGAAACGAGCGAGAGGCGATAGAAATATGTTTTATTATAGGATACCATAGAATTGGTCCATAAGTATCAGCGGCAAGACTAAATAAACCGCCAAGTGGCGAGTGTATCGGGCGCGCCAGTATATGTCACGGGCGTGAACGTTAAGGTTAATTTTAACTGTAAGTATAGTTTTGCAACGTTTTGCAAGTCCAATTTGCTATCAACAGAAACTAGAAAGTCTCTACTTATCGTATATTTAACTCTTGTTGCGCGGAACGACGTGGAACCTATATGTATGAAAACATTGATAAATTACACAGTACAAATTTCTAAGAAGAATTTATTTCTTGATTCAAAGTGTGATTTACAAGAATACAAAAAAGTTATTGATAATGTAAGGTTATTAAAATTAAAATATGTACTTTGAGATGATATATCCATTATAAATTTGAAATTTAAGTGCACATTAATAAGCTTACAGAATATTTCTATGAATGCCTGACACGTGATCGATTAACTACCGCTTTATTGTCTGCCTTTAGAGCATGGTTTACCTAGTCTGTACACATTCAAAAAAAGGATTTGAGGTTTTAATGTGTAAGATTCTTAATATATGGTTATTATAGATTACATTAAAACAATTAGTTTTTGTTTATTTGAAAATTAGTTTTGCCCACCTAGCATATGGAACCAAATGTCTTCAAAATTTATGCCACGTTAATTTAGAAAGAAAAAATCGGTCAACATTGCCCGGTACCGCTCACCATTGACAGTCACGTGCTCTTTTTTCTCATTTTTAAAGAAATAAGGTCTGATGATGACGCTGGCGCTCATTGCACATCGAACAGTGCATTTTTTTGGGTGCAATGGCGTCTGTAGAGTCACGGCAATTCTGCTTGTTTACATAGCCATTAAACCAAAAATGAGCCTCGTCTAAAGGTCCTATTTGAAGCTATTTTCCAAACCATATTATCGAAACTCCCGTCTACGTACTGTGTGATGGAAACATATTTTTAATGAACATTTATTAATTTATTTTACAATAACTGTTTCTTAAAAATAGGTTTTAACACAGTTTTTTATGTGTAAACCTACTTACAGTTTAAGTAAAAATCGACAGTTAATCTCACAATTAGCTGCCAAATCAATTTGCAAATTTTAATGTAACCAAAACGGCATTTTATTCAAAGAGGATAGTACTTTCGAAAAATGCAATAAAAAACGATGTTTAGACTGCTTAGTCCCCTTAAATGCTTGAAAAAATAGTTTTCTGTTCTCGAACAGTTTGAGAAATTCCAACTACTGTTCGAGCACATCGTCAGGTTCGAATTATGGTGCTAAAGAAAGTTCGAACATGTTTGACCTTGTCTGTTTGCGGAACCATCACTATTTATAATTTCCATCAAATTAACGGTTAAAGTCACGGGGTCGTTAAAGTCACGATCTATAATCGATGGATTATGCATACACCAGCGGGCTTACATTAAATGTCTAATAAGGATGATAATGGAAATAAACAGTGTGCTTTTCGATGGGCCTGTAACTAGTGGAGTCCATTCGTTGTCCAGCAAGCTGAATCATTTTATCGAAAATTGTCTCTGATAAAAATATATGTATATATGTATATATGTACACAATAATGATAAATACAGGCAGGACGGTAACGTGAAATTCACCGTTCTCTCGGCTTTCCCGTTAATCAGACGATTGTTATTCAACAGCGCAGGTGTTACGATCTACGAGTCTCACGAAAATGAAGAACATAATTGCTGACTTGCCGACAGGTCCTCTAGACACTTATAGAAAACGTGCTACGTTCGATTGGAAATTGTTGAAACTAAATTTGGAAGGAGAAGACTTCATAAAATTTCAGGTATCCACAAAGATATTGTAATACAGCCGTAAATTCTTCAACTATATATCCTGTTTTTTTTATTTTTTAGAATACTCTATGGAATTTCATACGAAAAACACCTGTGTTCGAAAAACCCGCTTCTGCTACGTTGGACGAGGAACGAAGACTCTGTCATAATCGACTTAACGCACTTGCTGATAACAGTATTGCTGTAAATATTACACTTGACTGTTGATAATAGAAGCCCAGATAGCACATAACGGCCAATAACGCCATGAAGTTGGCCTAAATGCGCTTTAGACCTAAAATAGCTGTAAAATGGACGTCTTCAAGGCATCATGTGCTATCTGGGGAGAGGGAACAGACCAGTAAATGCTCAATTAATATTTCATTGTTCTGCAGGATCCATTGACCCATAGATACTGGTTCAATGTGCTCTTCCAATACGATGCTTCGACACCCGTAAAAATGGGTGTGATGCAAGGCATGGTGCCAAGTGTACTTTTTGCTTTAGGAACAAAAGATCACTATGATGTTGCAGAGAAGCTGCAAGAGCGCAAAGTAAGTATATTGCGTGCCGAGTTGTAAATGGAGGATTTTTTATGTTTTGCTTTAAGTTTGATAAAACTTATGACAACTGTTGCTCGAATATGTATTGTTAGTATTATCTTTCATAGTACACAAGCTGTTTCGCGCTGACAGAAATATCTCATGGAACAAATGCAAAGGGCATGAGAACCACAGCAACGTACGATGTGCAATCGAAAAGCTTTATCATACACACTCCCGACTTTGAGGCTGCAAAGTGTTGGGCTGGCGGTTTAGGTGAATGACAGGAGAAAAGTAGACAGTGCTCCCTGGTGAACAGCGAATGGAATAATTTTGTATTTTTAGGAAAAACTGCTACGCACGCTATTACTTTTGCTCAATTAATCACACCTGATAGACGGAATCATGGTCTTCACACATTTGTTTTGCCCATACGAGATCCATACACCCATCTTCCTTTGCCAGGTGTGATTGTGGGCGATATGGGCGAGAAGATTGCAATAAACGGGGTGGACAATGGGTTTGTAATGTTCGATAATTATCATGTTCCCCGAAAATGCTTGCTGAATCGAACGGCAAGCGTTACAGAGGATGGGACATATGTAACATCGGTAAAAAACGAAAGCAAAAGATTCGGTAAGTGGATCGCTCTGGTTATGATTTTGCAGGAAAAGTTTTCATTGAAATTCACGCAGGTGCATCGTTGGGTGCATTGTCGTCGGGTCGTGCTACGATCACATCTATAACCACAAATATTGCGACTGTTGCAATGGTGATCGCAATTCGATATTGCTCTGTAAGGAAACAATTTGGACCGTCGGAATCTGAGGAATGGCCAGTTATAGAATACCAAGCACAGGTATTTAAATCAGACGAATGAACACTCGTCAGATAAACGATATGGTACAATTAAAATTTATCGTGAACATGTAGCAATGGCGATTGTTTCCTCACTTGGCAGCAATATATGCATTAAAAATCTTTTCCTCTGCGTTTGTCGCTCAAATGGCCGAATTTCAATTGAAACTAATGAATGGAACAAATGACGAGAATATGCATAGCGAAGGTATGGAGATCCATGCATTATCTTCTGCAGCGAAACCTGTCTGTTCATGGACTACCCGAGATATTATTCAAGATTGCAGAGAATCTTGTGGGGGACACGGGTACCTAAAAAGTACGTAAGCCACGAAGCAGAAATATGCAAAATACTTCGTACTTTTCTTATGTTATTCGATTTTTACTTACTAATAGTGTCACGCTTGGGCGACTTAAGGGCTGAAAATGATGCAAATTGTACATACGAGGGTGAGAATAATGTATTAATTCAGCAAGCCAGTAATTGGTTGCTGAACCAATGGTCAAACATGCGTAATGGAAAGTCCGTTAATTCTCCTCTTGGAACGGCACTTTTCATAAATGGTGCCGACAAGATTTTACTGCAAAAGTTCTGTCATTCAACAATTCAGGAAACATTGAAAATAGAAAGTATGAAAATAATTTAATAATTTCGTAGAGGTGCCTCTAATTTAGACTACTTATAGGTTATTCCTTACAGATCTACTAATATCCTTCGAATGGCTAATTTGCTATTACTTAAAAAGAACTTATGAAAGGACAAAATATTTTAAAGGCGAAGGCTGCAATGATTTTGAAACTAGAAATAATATACAAGTGTTTTTTGCACAGACATTATCAGTGTTATATGGACAGGTAATGATTTATATATACTTAGAAGCACCATTTTATATTAATATCATTGACATTCTTTTTGTAGTATGCCGTGATGAAATACTTCATAAAACGTATACATAATCCTTCGTGGAGATCTGAAGAATGTACTGTGTTAACGAAATTGTGTTCACTTTATGGAGCAGTTGCTCTAGAAAAAAGATTAGGAGACTTTTATGCTGGTGGTTATGCGGCGCCTACGAGTAATATGGAGAACTTCCTGCGAGATGGCATTATAATGTTGTGTAAAGATTTAGTTAATGACGCAGTAGCTCTAGTCGATGTTCTAGCACCGCCAGATTTTGTCGTAAATTCACCATTAGGAATGGCAGATGGCGAGGTACATAAAGAACTTTATCTTTTCCTTCTTTTAACCTGTTCTTTTCTTCTAAATGTTGTTCTGCATACAGGTATATAAACATATTAAAGAATGGATTTTCAAGAAGAAAGAGAATCTAGAACGACCAACGTGGTGGAAAGAAATTACACGATCTAAATTGTGACGTGTACATATATATAATTAACTTTTCTATTATATTTTTATATATATATACACAAGCAATAAACAAATTTTTACCGTAACATTTATATAAAAGCCATGTTCAATTCATACAAAATCTCATTTATTCAGAAGAATATTTTAGAAACCCTGATAACGCTAACATGAAGAATGTATTATTGATATTTGATGACTTTTCTTAGTTTCTATTGTTAAAACACCTTTATTAATAGTGATGAAATAATTGATATATACAGAAGTTATAATTCTGTATGTTTTTTTACTGTAATGAAAGACTTGTCCACTTCTGCGAACCATTCATTATACACCATTTGTGGTTCAATCATCCAAAATTTGTGGAAAGATATGGGTTCTTGCGAAGCAAGATAACCAGTTGCATAATCTAAAGGACGTGCCTGTAATAAATTCATTGACAAGGTGAAGATGTACGAAATAGGTAAAAGTTATCACTATAATGATTGTATCATGTAGTAAACATGAATTCCATACTTGATGAAATAACGCTGAATGAACAGGGTGTACTCCAATTTTTGCTAGGCATACACCGAACAGATACATATCATCAGGAGTTGTGGGGGACGGACAGTCACACCTGCCTGGTTGTATCATTTCATACACTAAAGGTTGAGACAAAGCAAGCCCAGCTCCACCTGTTAAGTACTCATACCCATAATGATTGTCCCATAAACGAAAACCATATCTTTCTCCAATTGCGAGTGGAGTGTTGTAATTATAGCATGTCAACAAACGCATTAAACGTGCTACGCTAATGTTGAGTACATAATATTAAGTTAATACTACGTAGTGTTACAAAAATGTACATATGCACTAAAGAAAAAATTTACCTAAAAATTGTATCATCATCACTAATTATCAACCAATTCAAATTACGTTTCTTTAGTATTTTATCTGCTTCCACCAGAATATTGTAAGTTTTGGCACAGTGTCCATGCGTGGTGTTTGGCACAATAAAAGCCTCGGGCAAAGTTTTATCTATACTGAAAAAAGGCATGTTATTTAAACAGTAATCACTATATTCGAAGTACGATTTAAACAGCTAGACAGCAAAATTTATCATACCAGCCGCATCACTGAAGTAACCAATGTTTTTAGTATGTTTTGCCCATGTCCTCTTAATGACAGAAATCCTTTCATCGTGATACTTTGTACACGTTTTTACAGCAAAATATGCATTCTCGGCAGATACGGACGAATCCTTTATTTATAATAATAGTACTGTATTATAAAGTAATATAAATAATATATGAATACATTAACTTACACATGGATGAAAATTTTTTGGATATGTGGCACAGTCGGAACTGGATACTATACATAGTTCAGGTACATGCGTCAATCGTACCCCTTTAACAACTTTTAGAACAAATGATGCAAATTCATATGATGCATCAATTGAAAAGTCATCCTTAGGTTTTTCACCTGCAATAATTTTGTGTACTAAACTGAAAAGGGAAAACATAATTTATGTTACTCGATAAAGTATTATAATACTAAATTCCTCTAAAAAAAATAAATACTATAATACTAATAATGAAGTACTATAATACTAATTCTTCAATAAGTACTAAATTCCTCTGTACATGAAATACCTGTTCATTAAAACCGATGTTATTGCAAACCCAGAAGCTATATGAGGATATTTAAACTTTTTGTTATGTGATGCAAAATGATGTATGATTGTAGGTTCATGATCATAGAGAGCATGACCAATCCATAGATTCTACAATGAGAAATCTATCAAAAAAATGGTTCACAGAAATAGCTCATTTCCTATTATGTGAAAACATACCTTATTCACTTCATACTTGGAAAGGATATGTAATAGTTTATTTAATCTAAGTACAGTACTTTCAAAACAAAAGAAAAACCACTTGGAAGTTGGATATGTATTTAATAAGTACTTCAATAATGGTATTATTGTCCATGATCCATTGATATTCAACTTATATGACACAACAATCTCAGGAGGCTCCTAATGCAATGAAAAGATGATAAATTCAATGTGAATAGATGCTTTAATTATGTACAATAAACTAGTTGTTAAAATAAGAAAGTTTATATACCTTATCAAGATTATCAGCTTGTTCCAAAATATTTTTTTTTAAAAGATTAGCATGTGCTGCATGATAATCCTCTTTGTGACTTAACACAGTAATTGTTATATCACTGGGGCCTGCAGAGAGAAGTAAATTGTTGATATTGTACTTACAGAGTAAGTATAACTATTGTATGTAACAGAACTTACTTAAAGCACTTGTTTCACCTGCACTGAAGTATAGAACAAAAAATACTGCATACACAGTATACATGAAAGACATAATTCTTAGAATAAATATATATTAATTTATGTACATAGACCTGCAATGTTCAATAAAAAATTTTAAATACTAAGAAAACATATCAAAATATATATTTGTTTACAGTAGTGTAATAGTTCTTTTAATTATACATCCACGACTGTAATGTTTTACATAAACATAGGGAACTTTAAACAATCTTAGACATATAATATTTTTTTCTGTAATCCGTACGGAATGGATTACCGTTGAATTTTTCGCAATTTTTCATTTAAATCAGTTTATATAAATATCCTCAGCTTCAACCGCGAAACTTGAAATACAAGAGATGGGATCATGTTCATTACGAAATTTGATGTCTGAAATGAGATCCAATCAAATCCACTATACCACTTACCTCTGTTGTGAATCTCGCCCTCATCTTGTAGCGGCGTCCAGCGTAAGCTTCACAAGCGTGAAATTCAAATTGAGGTATATGATTGTGTTGCGTATTCGCAACTGGTAATATTTAGAATCAAGCGCCATCTGTTCAGAATTTTAGGAATAAGTACATGTAACTACACTGTCATCTGTAGGCGCAGATTGAAATTAGGCGCGGCAAATATGAATTGTACAACAGCGTAACTGAGGCAATGAATCAGGGTATTAGATAACTAATTATTGATTAAATGTCAAAATGATAACATTGATGACTAGAAATTACTCGTATTTGATATTTACTTTTGGTTGTCATGAGGAAACATTGCCAAGGTATTAAAAACGCTCGTTCCCCGTAATGATTAGACCCAATA